CCCCCTATTTCGAATTAAGTGTCTACACAGCACTTAATTCGAAATAGCTATTTCGAATTTGGTGTTACTCCTCATAGAATGAGGTTTACCAAATTCGAAATAAGGGCTCCACTATTTCGAATTTATTTTGAAATAGCGGTTTGGCTGTGTAGATGCAATTAAAGTTAATTTGAAATAACTGCTGTTATTTTGAATTAACTTTGTAGTGTAGACATACTCTAAGGCTGTCTACATTGGCATGATTTTGCGCAAAAGCAGCTGATTTTGCGCAAAAATTTGCTTCCTGTCTACACTGGCGGGGAGTTCTTGTGCAAGAACACTGATATTCTAATGTGTGAAATCAGTGCTTCTTGCGCAAGTACTATGATGCTCCGGCTCAGGAAGAAGCCATCTTGTGCAACTGTTCTTGCGCAAGAGGCCAGCGTAGACAAGCAACATAAATTTCTTGCGCGAGAAAGCCCGATGGCTAAAATGGCGATCAGAGCTTTCTTGCGCAAGAGAGCGTCTACACTGGCACGGATGCTTTTGCGCAAAAGCACATCTCTTGCCAAAGGTGCATGCCAGTGTAGACGCTCTCTTGCGCAAATACTTTAATGCAAGAATTCTTGCGTTAAAGAGTATTTGTGCAAGATCATGCCAATGTAGACGTAGCCTAAGGGCGTGTCTACACAGCACCCTAAATTCAAAAGAAGATAATCAATTTGCGCTATGCAAATTAAATGTCTTATTTCAATAGAATTTCAAAATAAGCTATTTTGAAAATAGTGTCTACACAGCGCCAAATTTTGAAATAGCACGCTATTTTGAGACGTCCCTTAACCCACGTGGAACGAAGGTTGCAGAGATGCTGAAATAGCATGCCTAATTCAATGCCTATTTGCACATTTCAAAGATGCAAGGTAGTTATTTCAAGATACATCTGGTATCCCGAAATAGCCCCACTGTCACCCATTGGTGCTGCAGGACTATTCATTGTTTAAACATTTTCAGTTAGGGTACGTCTACATGGTAGTGCATATCTCAAAATAAGCTACGCAATTTGAGCTATGCAAATTGGCTACGTCTAGACTGGCATGATTTTCCAGAAATGCTTTTAACAGAAAAGTTTTCCGTTAAAAGCATTTTCAGAACAGAGCGTCTAGATTGGCACGGACGCTTTTCCGCAAAAAAGCCCCGATCGCCATTTTCGCAATCGGGGCTTTTTTGCGGAAAACAAATCTGAGCTGTCTACACTGGCCCTTTTGCGCAAAAGCTTTGGGCAAAAGGGACTTTTGTCCGAATGGGAGAGCATAGTATTCCACAAGAAGCACTGATTTCTTACAGTAGGAAGTCAATGCTTTTGCGGAAAATCTAACGGCCAGTGTAGACAGCTGGCAAGTTTTTCTGGAAAAGCAGCTGATTTTCCGGAAAAACTGGCCAGTCTAGACACAGCCATTGTGTATCTTATTTCAAAATAACCTATTTTGAAATTTGGTGCTGTCTACCAAATCTTGCTAAATTTTGAAATAAATTGCTATTCCGGCATCTTCCTTAATCCTCGTGCAATGAGTTTTACAGGGAGCTGGATTAAGAAGCCCGTTGTTTCAAATGTATTTAGAAATAACGGGCTTCTTGTGTAAACAGTGCAGCATGCTAAATAGTGCTGCTGTGTAGATGTACTCTAAAGGCTGTGTCTAGACTGGCAAGTTTTTCTGCAAAAGCAACTGCTTTTGCAGAAAAACTTGCCAGCTGTCTACACTGGCCGCTTGAATTTCCACAAGAACACTGACGAGCTCATGTAAGATTGTCAGTGTTCTTGTGGAAATACTATGCTGCTCCCGTTCAGGCAAAAGCCCTCTTGCACAAATGCTTTTGCGCAAGAGGGCCAGTGTAGACAACCCGGTATTGTTTTGCGCAAAAAAGCCCCGATCGCGAAAATGGTGATTGGGGCTTTCTTGCGCAAAACCGCATCTAGACTGGCACAGTGATAGAAATGTAATCCTAAAAAAGCAAGTTGAAAGAGCCAGACGAATCCCTAGAAACCATCTACTTCAAGACAGACCCAAGAAAACCAACAATAGAACACCACGTGTCATCACCTACAGCCCCCAACTTAAACCTGTCCAACACATTATCAATAAACTACAGCCTATACTGGAACAGGATACTAAACTCCAAGAGGCTCTGGGAGACAGACCCATAGGCTCCTATAGACAACCACCTAACCTCAAGATGATTCTTACCAACAACCACAGGACATACCACACTAATACCAACCCTGGTACCTTCCCTTGCAACAAACCCCGTTGCCAGCTTTGTCCACATATTCATTCTGCTGATACCATTATTGGACCTAACCAAGTGAGTGATAAGATCAAGAACACATATTCCTGCGCATCCAGAAATATAATTTATGCTATCATGTGCTGAAAGTGTCCATCTGCTTTGTACATTGGACAAACGTCTCAGACACTTCGCCAAAGGATTAATGCCCACAAAACAGATATTAGACAGGATCACAAAGAAAAAACAGTTTCTTGCCATTTCAACCAGAAAGGACACTGTCTCAGTGACTTAATTACCTGCATCCTGCTTCAGAAGCCTTTTAAATCTGCACTTGAAAGGGAATCCTCTGAACTGTCATTCATGCTAAAATTCGACACTCTATGCGTGGGTCTCAACAAAAACCCTAGTTATCTTACCCATTACAAAGATAGCTTCCCCAATTATCACCTCTAATACCGTTAGCTCACAGACATTTACCTCCCCCCCCCCGCATCCCCCTTCTGTTCTGAAATTTGATTTGTGTTTTTTTTTTTAATTGTATCTTTTGGTATATATGGTTGTGACAATTTTCTTCCACTATTTGATCTGAGGAAGTGGGTCTGGCCCACGAAAGCTCATCATCTAATAAACCATCTTGTTAGTCTTTAAAGTGCTACATAGTCCTGTATTTTGTTTTAGACTGGCACAGACGCTTTTCCACAAAAAGTGCTTTTGAGGAAAAGCGTCCGTGCCAATCTAGATGCTCTTTTCCGCAAATGCTTTTAACGGAAAACTTTTCCATTAAAAGCATTTGCAGAAAATCCTGCCAGTCTAGCCTTACAGACTAACAGGCTACCCCTCTGAAACTTTGAAATCTACAATTCAAGCCTTTTCTCACTAGATGGCAATGAGTAAAGATAAGCCACTATCAAGGAGATTCCGGGGGATCCATTCAGAGCACATTGCTGGGAGACAGGGCTGCCACCGCCCAAGACTGGGGGACTTTCTCCAAGCCAGTCACAAAGAGCACTTTTGTGTACAACAGAAATGGGTGGTACGTGATGCGATTGGTTTTGAAAGCCTCTCATTTGTACAAGGAGTGGCCCTGGCAGTGGCAGAGGAGAACTGTAGTGCCCGTATGGTTGCTTGTTAGCCAGCGTGGTGAACAGAAAAGTGCTTTTTGTGATTGGCTTGGTGCCTTATGGTAGAGGACCCTAGTCTGGGGCTGTCAGTAGCCCTCTCCCTAAGCAGTTTGATATTCTCAGGAGTGTCCCTCCAGGCCACCCTTGTTACAGCAGCTTTTAATGGTCTCTTTTCTCAGAAATTAATTGAAATGATTTTTTTCTAGTGATTGTCACTAAAAAAGTTCTGAGCCTCCTTCATCTCACATTTCCACACAATTTTTACCATAATTACGTACTGTAATAAAGGCCCAAGGCTCTTTGGCCAGTTAAATCGACATAGTGTACGAGGGGAGGTCCTCTAATGAATCAGTAACTAGTTAAAAGCTAGGAAACCAGGATAGGAAGCAGTGGTCAGTGTTCACAGTGGAGAGAGGCCAATAGCTGTGTCTTTGTAATGGAATCTGCGCTATTCATAAATGGTCTGGAAATGGGGGGATAGGTGGCAAAGGTTGCAGACAATACAAAGTCACTTGAGAGGTAAGTTCCCAGTTGCCTGCAAAGAATGACAAGGGGCTTTCAAAGAAGGTGGCAAAAATGACAGATGAGATGGAATGTTGATTAGTGCCAAGTAATGCCTAGGCAAGAGAGACTGAGGGGCATGGACCAAGGTGTGTGACCTGAACGGACCAATCACTGGGCTACAGGGTGCGATTGGCATGCCTGCTGCATTTGCTGCGACACCACCTGCAGACCCAGCTAAAGGGAATTTGGGGTATGAATTCCCATTCAGGGAGGCTGCTCCAGCCTCGCACATTCACAATGACCCAGGCTGTCTCATAACTTGGGCCTGGCAGGGGGTGTAACCAGGTGACACCTTTTGCCCAGGAAGTTGGACAGAGGAGGAGGCGGGGCTCGACCATGTTGCTGTGGGGGTGGGTTACTCTGGCTGGCTTAGGATGCAGGTAGGGAGCTGAGATGCTCCTGGTTCCTGTTCTGCACCGTGTACCTGGGAACCAATAACCCTCCCTGCTGGTGAGATCACGTCTGGCTGTGGATGGGGATGCAGGGCCCTGTGGCTCCCCACACTCGCTAACACAGACATTCTCTGCCTCTGCTGAGTGAGGTCCAGGTCAGGGAATGCACAGGCCCTGCTAGAGCTAGGCTGCTTCTCTGAGAACCAGGCAGCTTGACTTCTGAGGGCTGGGTCTTTGGCAGGAAAGTGAGCGAGGGATCTCCTCAAGGAACTGTTCTTTGCTGGTCCTGGAAGTGGATGTTTGTGTGTGAGAGAGCGAGATTACAGAGGATGGGAATTCCTAGTCTGGGCTGAGGGGTCCCTGGGCAGAGGGGTCTGTGCAAATGCTCCCTCTAATCTTTTCCACCCATGTTCAGAATGAATGTTTTGTGTGTGGAGCGAGATGTGCACCACCAGTCTCCATGTGCACTATTTAGCTGGGCAGCATTGGAATCTCTCCTGAGGACGTATGAGCGCACAGCTGCCTGGGCACACTGGTCAGTCGTCTGGCTAGGGGGTGTGTGGAGAGTCCCTGGGCAGGGGGTGCACATGGGGGTCCCTGGGCTGGGTAAGGGGTTGTGTGTATGTGGGGGGCTCTCTGGGCAGGGGAGGAGGATGCATGGGGGGT